TGCAGTCCTTGACCCTTCGCAGCAAGTGCATGAGGTCCTCCTCAGTTTCAGCAAGCAGGGTTGTCATCTGCATAATGCAGATTGTTAATAGATAATCAAAAAAAGAAGACACTCAGATGGCCAACAAACACATGAGGAAATGTTCAATGTTCAAAATCCCTAGCTGTAAGAGAGATGCAAATCAAAACAAGTATGAAATATCATCTCACCCCAGTAAGAATAGCAAAATTTGACAGAACAGCAAGCAACAAATGCTGGTGAGGTTATGGAGAGACTGGAATCCTTATTCACTGTTGGTGGGATTGTAAAATGGTGCAACCATTATGGAAGGCAGTATGGCGCTTTCTCAAAAATTTGCAAATAGAAATACCATTTGATCCAGCAATTCCACTATTGGGAATATGCCCTGAAGAAACTAGAAGTGCCACCTAAGCAGATATATGCACACCCATGTTTATTGCAGCTTTGTCCACAATAGCAAGATTTGGAAACAATCCAATTGCTCATCTACAAATGAATGGATAGAGAAGCTCTGGTATGTTTACACAATGGAATACTACACTGCATCGAGAAACAAGGAACTCATGAAATATTATACAATATAGGTGACCCTGGAGGACATTATGCTTAGTGAACTATTTCAGTCACAAAAGGACAAATACTGCATAGGGCCACTGTTGTAAAGCAGGACTGATATCAAGGTTGGGGGAAACTAAGAGAAGATAAATAATGTATACTGCATTGAAATAGATGAGGGAGAGAACTATTTATGAGGAATATATGATTATGTATTATTGTCATGAAAAAAGTCCAGAATGAAAGCTGCTTAGTGGAATGGACTGGGGAGGTGGGAGAACTGTATAACAATGAAAGAATTTTTTTTAATTTTTTTTTTTTTTTTACTTTTCAAAGAGAAAAGTGAACTGGGAAGGAGTCGGTTGGACAGGGAGGAAAGTATACAATAATGAATGAATAGAAATCCAAAGTTTCTGTAAACTTTCATTAAAACTAAGATGGTGAAGAGATTGAGATTGTTCACAGCTTTATTTTTCTTGGCTCCACAGTCAACACTCTTGGCACCAGTAGCCATGAAATTAAAAGGTGCATTGCCATGGGAAAGTCTGCTGTTAGGGACCTCTCTAAAGTACTGAAGAGCAATGGTCTCTCTCTGAAGACTAAGGCGCATCTGATACAGGCCATGGTCTTTGCTATC